CTCGTTCCCAGCGGTGGACTCTACAAGTCGATCTATATGTGGGAGCGGGAAACTGTCTTTAGGACATGCTTTATTGAGGTCTGTGAAGTCGATGCAAACCCTATCTTTTCCATTCTTCTTCTTGACAACGACAGCGTTTGCTACCCACTCCGGGTATTGCACTTCTCTTATGGACCCTATTTTCAAAAGTTTATCTACTTCGTTATTTACTATTTTTGCTCGCTCCACTCCGAGCTTTCTTCTTTTTTGTTTCACCGGCTTGAAGCTTGGATCCACGTTCAGTTCATGACAAATTATGCTTGGATCTATGCCGGGCATATCTGCCGCTGACCATGCGAATGATGTTATGTTTTTTCTCAAAAGTTCGATCAAAGCTTCTTTTATTTGGCCAGTCAAAGTTGTCCCAATTCGAATTTTCCAGTCCGGTTTGTCTTCTTCCAACACCACTTCAATTACTACATCATCTTTTTTCTGCCCGCTAGGAAATTTTGTTCTTAGTCCCTCTTTTGCGGGCTTCGTTAATTGCTATTGAATCTTCATACGGTGGCTAGCTAGATAACACGCCCGTGAAGCTTCTTGATCTCCCCGAATTGTTTCCACTTCTCTTGATGTTGGAAATTTGATACATTGATGATATGTATAGGGGACTGCTTTCATTTGATAGATCCAGGGAGTCCCGAGAATGATGTTGTAAGCTGCGGGCTTATCGAAGACAACGAAGTCCACGATCTTTGATACCTTTTTGGCAAGGACCGGTAGCTTGATTGTCCCGAGAGACATGGCTGACTCACTTGTGAATGCAACTAATGGGGACGGAGGCCCCACTATGTCCGCCCGACTAATTCCCATTCTTTCTAAAGTACTTAAAAAGATCAAGTCGACCGAACTGCCTGTATCTATAAGGATCCTTGACACTTCGAAGTTGGCAACGTCAAGGGTAATGACTAGAGCATCATCATGAGGTCTTTCGAGGTGCCGCGTTTCTTCTTCATTAAATGATATTCATGCACCTTGAAAATCGACTTCTTCGCTCAAGCTTGCTTTGAGTATGACATTTCGTCTATGTTTCTTGATGGAACTTATCGATTCTCGACAAAAATTGGAACCTCCTAGAATAACATTGATCTTACCCTTAGAATTCCTTGGTTCTTCCTCGTTGGTTAACCTTGGTCTTTTGGAATTTTGATCTTTGGAATTTTCCTTTGCTTCGTGGTATTTCTTCACAAAATCTTTTATATCGAATTTGGAAAGATCTCCACTGGCCCAAAGCTCTGCGAGGTGCCTTTTAAGAACGCTACAATCCTTGGTTAAATGTCCGGTCACTTTATGAATGTCGCAATATAAACTTTCATCTCGGACCCAAGTGTTTGATCTTCCTTTCCCTTGGAATTGCTTTCCGACGGTACTGTTGAAGGGTTCCGACCCAAATTTCTTTGGTCCTTTGTTCTCCCTGGGTTCGAACTTCTTGGTAGGGACGGTGATTGTCGGCTTCTCTTGCTTATTTCTTTTGGCAAAACTTTATTTTTCGTCCTCTACCTCCATCCAGTTGTTTGCGCGGAAGAGTGCATCCTGAATTGTGTCTGGTTTATGAAGTATTAAATCTTCTTTAAATCTTGAATCATGTCGCAATCCTTTTCGTAAGGCAGATAAAGCTGATTGTTGTGAGATTCTTGGGAGCTTTGACAGCACTCCTTTGAACTTGGTGATGAAAACTCGAAGTGATTCATTTGATCCTTGTGATAAGTTCCAAAGATCGGCATCCGAAACGCTTTTATCCATAAGGATGGAATATTGCTTTAAGAATACAGCTGATAGCTCGTCGAAATTGCTGATCGAACCCGGCTCTAATTGGGTGAGCCACATTAAAGCTTGGCCGCATAGGTTTTCCGAAAAAAGCTTGCAGTAACCTGCATCCTCATCAGCTTCATCCAATTCGACTCTTCCAGCAGCGATCAGAAAAGCTGCGAGATAGCTCTTTGGATCCTCCAATCCGCTGTAAGGGTCCAACTTGAGCTTCCGGGAATCTTTGATTCTCAAACTCGCGATTAGCGAGATGAAAGGTGTTCGCCTAGCTTCTTCAATGACTCGATTGATATCCGGCTCCGAACTTGTAGCCTGATGGAACTTTGACTTCATTTCTTTTAGTTCTTGGCTAACCTTCCTCATAGTCTCGAACTGGTCGAGGTTTTCCTGCTCGTACTGATCTGCAAGTTGAGCTTCATCTTCGAGCTGTGCCTCTCCATCCAATGGCTGAACTACATTATTAGTAGTACCAGGAGTTGTTTGTCCGCTGGTTTCATTTCGCGCAACGGAACTTGGTGAGTTGAGTATCCTCCTTTGGATTCCCACAGGATTTCCTGCACTTAAAGAGCGAACACGAGTTTGTATAGTATTGACGTTTTGACTAAGAGATACCTGGGATATTTGCAACGTATCGACAGCCTTTTCCACATCCGAGAACTTTTGTGATATGTCCGACATGGTTTGCTGCATAGCTTTGAGGGTTTCGGCCAATGATGTCTCAACGGCGTCTCCTCCGGACATTGCTGCTTATCTCGGGAATGTAGTAAAGAAAAATCTGACCACTCAAGAATCCTCTGTCCCCACAGGCGGCGCCAAAATGTGGATGTCGGATTCACACACTCAAGTATTTTTGTTAATAGGGAAGATTATTCTTGAGGGACAAAAAATAAGAATGTAAAAAGCTTATGAATTGCTACAAAAATTGCTATAGTATTTCTTGCTTCGAAGAAAAGGTCCCATTTACATGGCCATTGGCCTCTATATTTATACATAGAAAAACGACATTTAAATGGCTAATTAAATACAATTATTCTCTCTTAAATGCGTCCGTTTTGATCTTTGACTTTAATGCTTAACGTTTGAATTTGAGTTGACTCTGATCTTCATGGGCCTCGCCTTTTGCCCCAAGTGTTCTTGAACCGACTTACCCGTGTCTTCTACACCGAACTCATGTCGAAGCGCAGTCACTTCGGATTCTCGAAGTGGTGATAGCCACTTCGACCGTTCCTTCGGCTCACGGGTCCAATGGGCTTTATACTTTATGGGCCATTATCTTGACTACGTGGCAATCTTTGGTTGGTCTCGGACTTCTGGTGCGGGATCCGACACCAACATTCGCCGACAAGGTTTGTTGTCGAATCGATTTGCCATCGGAAGGAGCTCTAATAACCACCGTAAACTACCAGAAAAATCACCGACAAAATTTGTTATTGATTAAGATTTAAAGAGTACTGGGAGTACCATCTTGTTTTCCAAACATGATTCAAATAGTGTCCTTCCCTTTTACCAAAAAAAAAATAGTGTCCTTCCCCAACATTGTTTTTTGCTTTCATTACCATCTAGATCTTTCTTTCCTTGTCATTGTTGGTAGTGTTGTAGGCATTTCATCGACAGGGAGTTATGGTAGGTTTATACAACTTATTTTAGTTATGGAAGTTTTGAATTGGTAGTACTTATTGTTGAGACTCGTGTAAAGAAGACTTCAAAAGTACACAATTGCTCGAAATCAATCATTTAATTAGCAAATAACAGCTGCGTACTTTATATATTGGAGTGCTACCTATACTTTATCAGTGTTTGCAGTCGTTTAATGGAAAATATGGTTGTTAAAATATTTCATGTGGACAGAGATATAGATTAATGATTCTAGAATTATTAATGTTTTATTTACTTACACTTCAGGTTTCTCGTGTAATTCACTTTGCCTAAATGTCATAATTTAGGTCTGGAACTATTGTTGTCCACCCCAAAGTTTGAATGCATGTATTGTGACTTGTGAGACCATAGATGATCTTTACGTAATATATTCTATTGGTCTTAGGAATAGTCAGAGCCGGCGCTTGAGGGAAGCACATGCTTGCGGCCCTCCATAAATATATAAATTTTCGGCCCCATTTTTGACTAAAATCTTATGTAGCTATGTTGGTTAAGAATAGAGGTTTGGTAACTAGAGGTGGGAGGTTCGATTCTCCCAAGTCCCAATTTTTTCAATTAATTTTAATTTTTGTTTTTAAGGTAGTTTATAGGCCATAATTTTTTTCGGCTTGTGGCCCAATATTCTTTAGAGCCGGCTCTGGGAATAGTTAAATCAATCAAGTATCAAGCGTGTAATGCATATTGAATCTCTTGAGATGGTTGGACAATTGTATAATATTAATACATCCACAATTGTATTTGTATCTATCTAAAGAATGAAGGAGAGATTGTGCAAGTACCATGGGATCTACCGAAAACTTGTCGGAATTTCTCATCTACCTCTGCTTATACACTTCTTCCGTACATATATATACACTATTGTTCGTTTGGTCAATTTAGTTAATGTTGATTAAAGATGAAGGTGGAGCAATTTTCTAAAGATGTTGAAGTTAATGAATCCAAGGCCGGTAGACGAAGAGAAGAAGAATTTTGTGCATTGATTTCTTAAGTAATGTGTCACGGTCACCTTCTCATATCTGTGTATTAATTTGTTTTATTTGATTTGAAATTCAAAATAAAGTTTTTAAATGAGATGAAGTGGTGAAAATGATCTGTCAACCATCAAATTCTAAAATTTTATTTAAGTTTTACAAATCATATTTATATTAAATTCAAGTTTCGTATTTGTGTATTGTTTAAATTCAAGTTTGGATACTCTTTTGTTTGTATTACAAAAGAAGGAAGACAACTTTCATTGTCTAAACCAAAAAATACAAATTTCATTGTGAACTTTGTACTACATAATCTTAGTTTAAGCAAAAGTCATTAGTAACAAAAATAATTTATAAAAGATATCCCGCAGCGGAGCGCGGGTTTTTACCCTAGTTTCTTGATTAATAACTTGATATATGGTATAGCTAGCATGTATTCCTAACTAAATATTGGTTTATGCTTTTGTTAGGATGAATAAATATATATATATATATATATACTATAAGAAGTCCAATGTCATATGAATGCGCATTTTGACTTGTGGAAAAGATTCACATGCATGTGCACCTTTAAGTTCGCTGCAATCAAATACAAATCTTCAAGATTTGAAAGAGTTTATATCCCTAATGCTTATTTGTCAACGCTCGATGTCTCGATTTATAATGCGTCTATGCTAATATAGTTAGTGCAGCCAAAATTAGTAAACAAACAATATAACTTCTTCTAGTATGTGACTTTTATCATAAAACTAATCGATCAAATGAAAGTTTTTATGACCACATTTTTACAACTTTTAACTAGATCAAAAGAATAAAAGATACAAAGAATTTGATATCTTTCATTTTCAAATTTCAACTCTTCTTGAGAGGCTAGCCGAATCGTATGTCTTGCTATCAAAAGTTATTTTAACAAGTTTAAATTTCGTAAGCAAAGTTCACCTATCATCTTCATCATAACTTAAGCCATAACTTCAGGAGTTTGCATGCAACATTAAATGTCCCCAAGACCCCAAGCATACTATACGCTTTGACTTTTGAAATCTTATATATAATGTTGATATTGTGACGAATAGAAAACCTTATACATACAAAACTACAAAGTTGCTAAAGATCATATATATAAGCAGATAATCGTTCGTATAATATATAGTTTCCAAGTCCAAATTAAGGTGCCTGATGCAAAGGTTACAAACAAGTTCTCGGCCATCTGAAGAGTTTCTGATTAACCTCTCGCCGGATTCCGCAAGCCCTGACGGTCTCGTGGTCTATGACGACATAGCCAAGAAGGAACTGTTTCTACACAACAATAGTTACAAGTCTGCTAATGGAGAGAGAGCTATTCATCTAATCCCTCTTGTTCTCTTTCTATGTGGTTTTGTTCTTTGGGTTTTCTCAAATGCAACTCATGTATAATTACTATTAATTAACCTACGCCACGTAAAGGAATAACCTTTGTTAATGTGTGATCATTTGATATCTATACTTTTTAGCAACCCCTACAATATTTGCCTCTATTGGATTCTTTTATTTGTTATAGTTAACTTTCACGGCCTTTCATTGAGTTTTGGTCTCATACGGTCAAATTAAAATAGCCACCAAAAATAGAGGTAAGAATTTGATTTGATCTTCGTGTCCATCTTTGACTAATTCGTGTCCAATGACCACGGAATAGTCGTGGCTACAAAGGATATATATGACTTATTGGAGAGAACAAGTGTGTAGTTAATCAACAAACTGATCACTATACTTCATCTTCTAGATCTCTTGAAGTCATCTAGAATGAGATTCCACGCAATACTTCATCAATAATACTGCCTGTACTTAATCAACAGCACTTGTTTATATTTGTGATTTTCTGGTGTATGACTAATTTTAATTTACATGTTAAATCTTGATATTTTTCTATGAATGGTTTGGTTTGGTTTTGTAATCCACTAATCCTCATTTAAATCTTCCAATATACAATGGATTGAACGAACCATTCTAATCCGTTCCAAGTTTTGGTGACGTGAAATTAATTAACACAAAAAACATTTCTTAAGAGCGGTTCGGTTTAACAAAACCTTTTCATTTCGGCTCGTTAGTTCGGTTAATGTGTAAACCTAACCGAACCGTAGTTCTCTAATCCCTTGCTCACACTGTCGTCGTCTCTCTTCGAGATGAGCTTTTGCGCGGGTCATCCTTCCTTTCCATCAGCCTATATCCTTAGCAAACTTCTGCTATCTTCCAAATTCTAAGTTTTATAATGGTGATTAGCAGTGGCGTATTTTTGACCCGTACATGTTACTTGAGGCTGCAACCGCCAAGCCTTGTACTGCGCCGGAGATTCTGCGCAGCCACAACGGATTGCTCTGTTCCTCTGAACGGGACCAAGAAGAGAAAGTCTGAAAAAGAGAAGGTGATTGTGATTTCTGGGCCCACCGGCGCCGGAAAAAGCAGACTTGCTATGGAGCTCGCCAAGCGTCTCAATGGCGAAATCATCAGTGCTGACTCCGTTCAGGTCCATTCTTTGCTCTAATCCGACTTGTACTCTCTAAATAAGTGATAGCTCACTTGCAATTTGAACCCTTGTTGATGCTAAATGTAAAGTTGAAGTTTTTAACTTTGTTTAGTTTGATCAATTACACAACTTTGCATCTATGTTTGGTGTGGATTAAAAAGGTTCTTGCTTTTGTTCTACCCCAATCACAGGTGTACAGAGGCCTTGATGTTGGATCAGCCAAGCCATCAGATAGCGATAGAAAGGTATCCTTCTGAAATATTTGGTAAGATTTATTCATTTTTATCTCATGTTGGTGCCGTTCTTGATCACATTGTATTTGAAAGTTGTATGTTGTACAAATTATTCAGGTGGTGCCTCATCATCTTATCGACATTTTGCATCCGTCTCAAGGTATTTGTCAGCTTTGTTGATGTTGCAAATGCCACAAGTGTAGATATTTCTGATACTTACACATTTTTTCATGCTTTGTTAGACTACTCTGTGGGGCAATTTTTTGATGATGGAAGGCAAGCTACCAAGGATATTCTTAATAGAGGGCGTGTTCCCATTGTTACGGGTGGCACTGGATTGTATCTGCGATGGTATAGCAGTAGATTATATACTTGTCTAGTGGCTCTTTCGTATAATGTTAAAAGCGTTATAGTATACTGCAAAATCTAGAATTCATAAATTTACATGCTTTTGTTAATGTTAGGTTTATCTATGGGAAGCCGGATGTGCCTAAACCTTCTCCAGAAGTCATCGCTGAGGCCCATGATATGCTAGTTGATTTTCAAACCGAATATAACTGGGAAGCAGCTGTGGAATTGGTGGTCAATGCTGGTGATCCAAAAGCCTGTTCTTTACCTCGTAATGATTGGTACAGACTACGTCGTAGCCTCGAGATACTCAAGGTTTGACTATTATTAACTTCAACTTTCTGCTTTAAGGCGTTGCTTCGAATTTTCTTGCTCCTGTAGATAAATGATTTCTAGGTTGATGAACTATCATTGTTTTATTTTGGATTGTATGCATTATTAATCTTGCTTTGAATGTTTGTCCCTGGCAGTCAACTGGATCTCCGCCGTCTTCCTTTCGCATTCCATATGATTCTTTTCGAGAAAATTTAAATTCTCCTGATGCCGATGACTTGCTTGAGGATGGTTCATCTGCTGATATCTCCATCCAAAACATAGAGACAGATTTGGACTATGACTTCCTTTGTTTTTTCTTGTCAAGCCCACGGGTTGCTCTCTACAGATCTATTGATTTCAGATGTGAAGACATGCTTTCAGGTAAAATATAAGTATTACTACTTAATTAGTAATAACTTGCAAGGATATAATTGCATTCCCATGGCACCTTACAGTAATAATAAGTCTTTTCTTATCTGATTCTTCTGATTATAACCCCCAAAAAAGACAATTTGCATGCTCTTTGCTGTGTCGTATGCAATTTTATCTATGTTTGCTTGGCATTGCTTCTGAGTTCATCTTTCCTTGATGCTCTGTCTCTCAACTCCAGGACCCAATGGAGTTTTGTCAGAAGCTAGATGGCTTCTTGATCTTGGTCTTCTTCCAAACACAAATCCTGCAACTCGTGCTATTGGGTACAGACAGGTAAACTCTTTATTTTCTTGTACTGGGTTGTGCATAACGAACTGAGAAGAGAAGGCTTTCATGTGTTAATCTAGTGCATGGTCGTTAGAATTAGCCAAGGGATCTGCAGTGGACTGTAGCTGTTAATTTTGCAGCATGTCCAGTTCAGTGAAGAATATGGATTTGTTTCTAGAAATTGCATGCCATAACATATAACAGTTAATTTTTTGTTTTAGACATATAGCCGTTTCCATTAGTATATCATCATCCACATATACCAAGTTGCTTCAGAAAAGGAAGTCTATTCTTATCTAGTTGAAAAAATGCAATACTTTACGAGTTCATCATATCAATTTATTTGCCGTACTTTAGTACCTCTATACCATTTAGGATCAACAATGGAAATTTTATTCCTTGTTTTCAGGCCATGGAATATCTACTGAAATGTCGTCGATATGATGGTGAAAGTTCCCCTAGGGAATTTTATGGTTTCTTGAACAAATTTCAGACAGCATCCAGGTGATTCCTCTACATAGACTTGATATATCTAGTGTATAAGCTTTTGGACAAAATATTAGTATTTCGAAGCTATCCTAGTAAAATCCGTGTTAAGGTAGGCCTTTTGATAACTAACTAGAGTTGCAGAGTAACGTCTATGTGTGAACAATCATTTTGTATTAATTTCTTAAACTTTATTAAAAAAATTGCTCTAAAGGTTTAAAGCTAAAATCGGTATACTTGGTTTGCTTGATACGCAGAAACTTTGCAAAAAGGCAAATGACATGGTTCAGGTGTGAGCCTATGTACCACTGGCTTAATGCTTCTAAACCTCTGGTATATGTTTAAAAACTTAAGAGGCTCTCTGTTATACTCAATCTCTTATATACTGTCAATCAAGCATGGTGATAATTCGTTTGTTCTCGCAGGATTCGATACTTCAATGCATATATGATGCTTATGAGAGCGAAGGAGAGACGGTGGAGATACCGGAGTCTCTAAGAATGAGCAAAGACGTAAGAGATTCTCGAGAAGCTTCTGAACTAAAGTTGTACCGCTCCAAAAACAGGTACAAAGATCAAACATAACACTGAATTAGGCTTTCTTTTGGTTACTATATTCTTCCCTTGGTAATGGTTTGAATCTGTTAATGAAGGCATTTCGTAAGACGAGAGGACTGTGATCCGGTGTTAGAGTGGATCAGAAGTGAAGGATGTAAGAGTGAAGCTTCATGCGTGGAAACCGCAGTAGCATAACCACTGCTTCATTCTATCCGCAAAAGCCAAAACCAAAACCAAAACAAAAGTGTGTTAGTAGACAAGATTTTGGATTATGTTCTTGATTATACATACAATTAGGAAGCAATTAAAATTTCCAAAGAAACGAAATCCAAAAGTTATAAAATCTTATGAGCCATTAGGAAATTTTTGAGTTTGAACCAAATGGAGTTAATGTGAATATTCAAATAATTATACAATAAATTGTACAGGTGATGCCACGGTCTGTTGTGAAATCAGAAGATATGAATAAATAATACTGCAAGACAACGACAAAATTATCAAACGTTTTGTCGTTAGAAGCCAAAATATGGATCCAGCGATCTCAAATTTTTTATGATCAAAATTCAAAAGTGAATCGGGAATTATCTAAAGCCACCTGACCTGACCTGACCATCCCCATTACGTTTTTTCTTTTCTTTTCTAGTAACTGTTTTAAAATAAGTAATTATGTCGAAACTTTTGGCACACCGGAACACGCACTTTGCTCGTGCTCACCAAGAAACAAACAAATAACGTAACGTCAAATAAACTGTTATATGAATTATAGACTTATGATTATCCTATAATTAAGTACATAAGGCTATACGGCTATAAGCATAAGTAATCACACAAACGATATCCAAAAAGTTATCTCAGTGGATCTGTTAAGTCTCAAAATGATGAAACTAGTGACAATTTTCTGAAAATTTTGTCATTAGTTTAGTCATAACATTAAACATAACGAAAGTGTAAAATTTGTCTAGTTTCGTTATTACAACATGATGTTTCCATTTAATTTTTTTTTTTTTTTTTGTCAACCCAAATCAGATCCATATCAAAATCATTTATTGATTTAATTCAATGCTATACACCAATCCTATGAAGAAAAAGAAATCAACGAATACTTTAGTAACAATAACCAATTCATAGTGGACTAACGCTTAAATAATTTCCCATATAGAGTTGAGAGGCTAGTGTTCAATATTTCAATTATGGTTGGTAATTTTAAAAACTTTAAATAGTAAATATATTGGGTTGGCATTCTTTATCTACTTTTTTTTCCACGAATCTCAAGAATTCGTATAAACTCTTTTAGATATATCGAATATAAGAAAAGATAACAAATTCATCTTTACAATAATCTTCCAACAAAACATCAAGTTATTGTCACTTACCATATTATATTTCTTTGGTTATTTTACTCATTTATTCAAAACTAGTCCTATATCAAATAAAATGAACACAAAAGGCCATTTCTGATGCGAGTTGTGGATAAAAAAACTCCCTTGCATTTGCAGGTTTGCAACTTGAAATATTCTCTTCTTCATTTAAAATTAAAGTTAATTATTGATTTAGTTTTGGCTTGCTGATGTGGAATATAAAATTTTATCTTTTTCCTTTTTCTAAATATTTGCATATACGTTTTAATTTTGTTTTATTTGCCCTTTTGATCCATGTTTGGTTGCCCAGAAAATCAAAGAGGAAAAACAAAAAAACAAAGCTTTGTAGTAGAATCATTCATGGCTTTCTTTGCGTGTTAAACATTCACTAACCTAAAACTTCGTTTTAAGGTAATCACAATCACAACCCCAAATTTTTGATTTTTTTTTTATTTGAATTTTTGAGTTTTAAGTCTCTTGATGTCCGCTTATAGATTTTTGATTCTCTTCCTCTAATCAATTTCTCAGTAATGAAGATTGATCCTAGGAACTGACTTATACTCTGTTTTCAATTTCCATTAACATTTCAAGCCATTGTATGCTTCTGGATTTGTTTGTTTTGTAATTTGAGGACTTTTCTGCAATCTAGTGATTATGAAGCAGAATAATCTGAAATCTTTATGCCAATTTGTTGAAGTTGAAGTTTTTGAATGTGAAAGATTCTAATGGATCTTATTGGTCCAACTTATTTCTGGATATTTGGATGTATGTTATCTTGTTTTGTTGTTTAGGAACTTGAAGTTTTTGCCAATAATGATTGTAAAACACTAGACTTTTAGCATATGTGATGTTAAATTCTGATCTTATAAGCAGTTGGAATGTGAAAAGATATTCACTTTAAGGTATTTTTGAAGCAGCAATCATGAGATTCAAGAAGGGAACTAAAGTCGAAGTGTTGAGCAAATCATCGGTTCCATCTGGTGCCTGGTGGTCTGCTGAGATCATATCGGGAAATGGGCATTATTACACTGTCATGTATGATCATGATGGTGGTACGGAGAGGGTACCGAGGAAGAGTATGAGGCCCGAGCCTCCTCGTTTACAAGTCCTTGATTCTTGGGGTCCTGGTGACATTCTTGAGGTTTTCGAAAGTTGTTCGTGGAAGATGGCAATCGTTTCCAAGGTTTTGGAAAAAGGTTGTTTCTTGATTAGATTACTTGGTTCTTCAGTGAAGTTCAAGGTAACCAAATCCGACATTCGGGTTAGACAATCTTGGCAGGATAACGAGTGGATCATGATCGGACAGGTACTTGTTTCTTTCCTCTGTGATTATATCTTATAAAGTCTGTTTTTGAGCTGACATTTTGTTTATTGTACCATTTGGATGAAGGGTGCATCAAGATTAAGCGCACAGACTTCAACAGGAGAATTAGGGAGAAAGGTGAATCCGAAAGCCGACTACATTTCATCTGAGAGCAAAGACAAGCTTGATGAGTCTGATGTACCTTTGTCAAAAAGTCTAAAGAAACGGACTTACTCTTTGGTTGAACCACATAATCAAACTAGAGTTTTAGCTTATCCTCCAAAGTTTCATGAAGAAGGAAAAGAAGAAGAAGATAGAGAGAGTGTTGCTTCTTCTGTTGGTAGTTGTAGCATGGATACGGATGGTCTCAGTGCTGTTTCATTCAATCCCATTGAAACCGGTAGCTCTAGTGACACAGAGTCATCATCTTGTGGCTACGGGAAGATCAAGAAGTTGGGGGTTCCTCCAATAAAAAGCTCAGAGGCTGCTGATGTTCATAGGTTAGAGTTGGATGCATACCGATGCAGTATCGAGAGATTGCACGCATCTGGACCAATTATAACTTGGGAACAAGAAACGTGGATAACAAATCTCCGTCTCAGATTGAACATTTCGAATGAGGAACATCTGATGCAGATAAGAAACCTTATCTCTGACGATAACAGTACAATATACAGATAGCAGCAGCATTGATAACTACAGTTTGTGTTACATAGAATAAAAATTGAGTGTAGGTTGTACAAAATGTCATTCTATTTTCAAGCAGGGTTTTTGATTTATTTCCGAACTTGTGAAAGTAAATGGGGAAAATTCCCAAAAAAAACCCCAAGTAATTTTTATTTGGAAGTTTAATGCCCAATTCTTTTGCGTTGGTCTAAAAATACCTTAGTTAATTAATTGTTGTCAATTAAATCGTAAACTTATTACTGATGGTCGTTTAAGTCATTCGACTTAACAGACGTTTAATCGGCTGACGGAATCCCTAAACCCGGTTTACTGGTTAAGAAAACGTGGTTTATTAGCCTAATTAAAAGACTATAATGCCCTCGTTACTTTCCCCCAAATCGAAATCGACGAACCCTAAAAATCAGAAACCCTAATTCTCTAACTCTCTCGATTCTCTCCTTCGTTTCATCTCCTAAGAAATTCAGTGAGGCGATGATTTGAAGCGTTTGATCGGTTGCATATGTGTTGAGTCAGTGGATTGTATATCGAAGAGATGAGGTATGTTGATTCGCGTTTTTTCTCTATCGATTAAAATTTCTAGGGCTATCCGATTTCAAAAAATTTATGGGTTTGGGTTGGATCGATATTGTTTTACTTTGTTTACAACGATTAACAACTGAATTTCTTATTTTGTAGTGATTTCGAGTGTTTGAAACTCAACATTCACTACCGAGGAGATGTATCAATCAAGGAGCAGTCGTTCGATTACATTGGAGGGTTCGAGGATAAAGACATGTTGATGGATCCTGATCTGATGACATGGTCAATCTTCGAGGATTTTTGCAAAGAAAAGGGATTGAGTGGTGAAGTCGAAGCGATTTGGTACAAGCTTCCGCATGAGGACATAAGTTCAGCAAGGGTTATCAAGACAGACAAAGATGGTGGAATTAGGGAGTTGTGTCGTGAGGCTGTGGTTGGTGGTGAAGTCGACATATACATTGACTCCGGCGTCTGTGAACCTATATTTCATCTTGATGTAGAAGATGAGGAAGAAATAGCAGGTGATGATGGTGCATATTCTGTAGACGGGAATGAAGAATGTGTTGACGAGGCTGCACAAGAAACAAATGCAGAGCCACAAGGTGTACCAGATGAAGGGGAAGATCCAGTAGAAGAACGTGTGCACGATGATCCTAGGTTTGAAGCTTTCTTTGCAGAAGTTCACAATGGTACAGAAGCAGCTGCTGAAGCTGGTGGTGAAGAAACAGTGGGTGAACAGTTAGAGGATGAAGAAGAAGAAGCAGCTGCTCAAAGTCAGTCTACACAAGTACCTCAGCATTCAAGTGCTCCAGCAGCTAATCCAAGTGGTAGGGGACGTGCTCGTGGACGCCCTCCAGGAACTAAGAATGGTGAAGGCAAGGGTCGTGGCAAAGGTGCTGGCAAGGGTCGTGGCAAAGGTGCTGGCAAAGATGAAGCTCCTAGACCGCCTGTTTTCTTTATGTCCCCATGGACTGACAAAGTGTTTGATGTTTGGCAGCCTGGCAAGAAATAGGCTGATCTTATTGATGTCTTTTAGGATCTTTCTGATGTAGGATTAGGATTATGTAGGATGATATGATATGTAGGATGCTGCTTAAGTTGGATGATGATTGTTTTGGTGGGATCCTTGTATGTTTTTGGTGGGATCCTTATGACTAAACGGCTCTTTTTGGCTCTTATGTTGGATACACTTTTTATGAAACTCCCATTAGTTCAAACAAGACTTACAAACTTGTCATACCACAACAACAACAAAACAAAAAACAACAACAACAACACAGAAAACAACAACAACAACAAACAAAACGAAAACTACTTCCCCATTGCAAGTATCATGGCAATTACAACAATGAAGCATCCCCAAGACAACACAATGAACTGCCGAAGCATTTTCTCCCTCTCATTAGCACCCATAACTTCACTTTCATGCTTTGCCTTCTCTTGTTCGTATCTAATCCCTAAACCACTTTCCAAATTCGTCGAAGCACTGATACCTTGATCATTCTTCGTCTTCACAGATTCTTTAAGCATCTTTATTTCCTCTTTAAGCTGACGAATCTCATCTCTTGCTTCTAATAAGCTCACCTTCTGCCAACCATATGGCTTCTCTTGATCAGCCCAATCGAAGAACCCATGAACACCACATCTGAAGAATCTTCTTCCCGGATTCTCGTTTGTCCATGCTTTAACAATCGTTGTCGCCCTACCACAGTTGCAAAGAGGACCCCAGCTTCTGCTCACCGAATTGGCATCAGACCCAGAACATTGACTCAACATCTCTCTAATTGTTGTGAAAATGGAAGTTTTGATCTAGGGTTCTTGGTCTCATACTCATATATCGATTTGGGGGAAAGTAACGAGGGCATTATAGTCTTTTAATTAGGCTAATAAACCACGTTTTCTTAACCAGTAAACCGGGTTTAGGGATTCCGTCAGCCGATTAAACGTCTGTTAAGTCGAATGACTTAAACGACCATCAGTAATAAGTTTACGATTTAATTGACAACAATTAATTAACTAAGGTATTTTTAGACCAACGCAAAAGAATTGGGCATTAAACTTCCAAATAAAAATTACTTGGGGTTTTTTTTTTGGGAATTTTCCCAAAGTAAATGTGAACATCTTTACTCTTTTTTTCTTTTTTCTGTTGGACTTGAGGAAAACTTGCAATGTATATATGATTCATGCCATGGTCTACAAGAATTACATAGAAAAAGAGAAAACAGGATTTATTATGCAAATAATTGAATCACTAATATGACTAAACTAAATTTCTCCTTTTTATGCTGATAGATATAAGTTTATAAAACCAAGTAGCTATTGACACATCTAAAATGCTGCAACTGGCAAAGTAATAGAAAAGTGAGTAGAATACTAGAATTAAGTTTTCGAATAAACCGCATATTCTTTTGGGCAGAAAAAACTTAGCTGCAAATTCTCTTCGGGTCTCAAAACAGAACAATCCCAATATTTCCCGCAATTGTTGTTATAAAATAGACCATTGATTTATATGTAACGTCAAAATCAAAACAGCATAATAGAGGAAACCATGGCAGACATTTTGGAAGATTTACTCAAACGCATCATCATCGTCATCGGGGAGAGGCTGAGCTGCGGCAGCTGCGAGATCGGCCTCGTTCTGCTGCTGAGCAGCAATGTCAAGGTGAACCTCTGGTGGAGCAAGAGCTGGTGACTCGACAAAGTGAAGGTTCTGGTCTCCCGCCAGTTTCCTAGCAAGGTACAAGAAAGGCTTCTCGAAGTTGTAGTTGCTCTTTGCCGATATCTCATAGTACTGCAGATTCTTCTTCCTGTGGAATGTCACCTGCTTTGCCTTCACTTGCCTGTTCTTCACATCGACTTTGTTCCCACACAGAACAATCGGGATGTTTTCACACACCCTGCAGAGATCACGGTGCCATGTTGGAACATTCTTGTATGTGAGCCTTGCTGTGACGTCAAACATTATTATGGCACATTGACCATGGATGCTGCAAGAAAACCAAAGATTAGACATATATCCAAAACGGCAAATCAAATCAACCATTATCATTCAACTCCTATTCTCACTGTTCAGGTAACAAATCAATTGCAAACATGGCATGTGAGATTGTTCTTGTATTTCACACTTTAACCAGAGCTATTCCAAACTATGCATAATCTAATACACATTGGGATCTTAACAGATTACTTAACAACAAACGATTCCTATTCCCACTGTCCAGGTAACAAATCAGTTGCCAATTTCACCCACAAACCAACCAGAGCTATTCTATATAGACTATACACACAAACATATCAATGGAGATAGGTATACTTACTAGTATCCATCCCTGAGGCCACCAAATTTCTCTTGTCCAGCAGTATCCCAGCAGTAAAAACGGATCTTGCCACAGTTTGTGAAGAAATCCAAAGGATGAACCTCCACACCAATAGTAGCTGCAATACAAGAGATTAAGACTCAACATCAGAATCAGTAAAGAGACATAAAGAATAGAAACTGTGTGCATTCACAAGCAATCACTGCTAAACTTACGTTCATACTTCTTCTCAAACTCCCCAGTAAGATGTCTCTTCACAAAAGTTGTTTTCCCTGTACAAAACACCAAGAGCAATCAGAGGCTTAGAAAACTAATCAAAAACGTTGAACCAAAATAAAACTGAGCCACTGAAACAACATTGCGGATTATCTAAGAATCGTTTTCGCAGAGATATGCTCAACAAAGTAACCAAGCATTGATATTATCAAAAACCAATCGTACAACTCCAATCAGTACATCATCAAAATCTCAAATCCGTCTCTTAAACAAGAATACTTTCCGATGAGGACAATGAAAAAATACGATCAAATTTCAGAAGCGTACCTGTGCCTCCATCACCAACGATGACGAGCTTGAAGCTAGGGTAATCTACGGTTTGCTGGTTAGGAAGAGCCTGAACAAGATATTCACAACGGATTTAGAAAAACCAAAGAAAAGAAACAACAACGAAATTAAGCGATCTCGTGAGATCTGAGACTGCAAAAATCCTAGATCAAGAAACGAAGAAATATAAATCTAAATATGTAGAAGACGAAGATATAAGCAAAGTCGAAGAGAATGTTCACCATGTTTTCGGAATTCGAGAGAGGAGAGCGCGAAGTCAGACGATGGATGATGTCGTCGAGGTTTAAGAAGCGATGCGGCGAGAGGGACTATGGAGAGAGATGGGGTTTTAATAAGGAGAATTTGGGGAGGTTTTGGCTTAGGTTTGACGCTATTCCTTCCACCGTTAGATTCCTTCTTTTGGCTCTTCAATATCTACGCAGCTTTCTCCACCGTTGGATCTCTTTTTCAGCTTTAGGGCTATATATATTGGTTTTGTCAAAATTAATTGATTAATTTATTTTCTCTATCGTATTTTTTATTTATTTTGTAGTATAGTTATTTATTAATAGATTTTAACATACCACCAATAAGGAATTATTGTTCATAACGGATAGTTTCAAATTTTTAAACTATTTCATGTCACATGGTTGAATTTGAAATTTAATGGTAACTTATTAATAATACCTAATTCATGTTCTAGTCCAATCTTAAGCTCTCGTGCGGTTGTTGAAGAAGAACAAGATTCAAAGAAGCAAAGAAAGGGAATCGCAGAAGAAACTGCAAAGCTAGAGAGATTGGGGAAGACAAATAACTTAATCATTCTCAATGTATGTCAGGTCTTGAAATGTCAAAAGAGATGCATGTCGCAATCTCCTCCAAACATGAAGAAGCTAATATGACATCACCTAGCAGCTAAATAGAGGCATCTGAAATCTATCAACTGGTAAATACTAGAAAAGTGGGTAGAATCAATTTTCCAAGGGTTGGCTGATTTTTCAGTCCTATACTAGTTGGAATCTCAGCTTTCCATCCCAAACTTTTTACTTCTGAAAAAACCACCAAAAAAAACTTTAATCTCAATAAAACTACGCGTACTTTCGGATTTGTTCGTAAAAGCTTCCAATTGAACCGATCAATTAACCGATAATATTTAATCCGGTTTGACTTACCCAGAATTTTGACCAAAATTAATCGATTTTGATTCTATTTTAACCCAATTTTGACCCAAAATCAAATATAAAAGAATTTTTTTTTTCTCTATAAATAAATTTATTTATTTATTTTTATAAACAATTAAAATAATAAATTATAACTTAATTTTATCAAAAAAGATAAAAAAAAAATAAACCACAATAGAATTATATAATAAAATTTTGGTATATACTTTTGGTAATATTACAAAAAACTAAAATAATAATTTTTTTTGGCAATCATAATATATGACCTTTGAATTTTGTATATTATGAAATTCAAAGTATATGCAAAACTCATATATATATATATATATATATATCCTTAAACACCACAAATCAAAGTATATATTATGATATTTATAAATTCATTTTTCTTTATAGATTCAGTTTTTTTTTTATAAATTCAAAGGTCGGTTATATATATATTTATATATAATATATATATATGGTGGTTTTAAAAAGAAAAATGCGTATGAATTTTATATATATATTATACCAAATTCATTATATATATATATATATATATATGAATTTGATTTGTGGTGATATTATATACTTTGATTTGTGGTGATATTCAAAATATACATTTTATTTTTGGCAATCATTTTTCTTTTATAACTTCAAAAGTCATTTTTCTTTTATTGCTGTGATCGATGAATGCAGGGAGCAAGAGACAGTAACATGAGTCTCTCTCAGGCACAATTATCGAGGAGCAAATTCTGAATCTGATTTCCGACGCCGGTGGAGCCGTTGCTCGCCGGCGTCGGGATTTCTCAAACCATCTTTTACTCTCTTTTCACAATCGTTTTATAGGTTTTTGTTACCTTCCAGACCACCACCGCCCTCTCACTTCGATTTCATTTCTGGTGGTCGGAGATTTTTTAAACACGCTTTCAAGAACTTCAAAGCTCCACCGGTCTCCTATTCCGGTGATATCTTTTTCCACCCTCCATCGATCGACATGGTCGCCGGTGAGATCTATTTCCAAAACGTGGAAGCTCGGATTTCCGTTAAAGATGGTGACCGGTTGTTGTGTCATACCTCGCCTCCAGTGTGTGTGCTCGTCTGGGTACTACTCCGATGTATCTTTGTTCTCTTCTCGGACGTATCTCCGAAGTTTTTTCCATTACTTCTTAATACATCGTTGGATCCATCCTCTACCGCTAGCTTTCGTCGCCACCATCTGGATCGGGATGTATCTGGTGGGCTTTCCAATTCCGGTTGCCGGAGATCTCGATCTCGTCGTTGTGGCTTCTCTCTCACACCTCTGGTGCTCTCTCCCGACGAGAACTTGTTTCATCCTCCACCAGTTGCTCATCACACCGGTGAGAATATTTTTAGATAGGTGTCTCCTTAATCGGAAGGATGTCTCATCCGTCAACCTCGCCTCAGTCGGCAGCCGCCGCTGCGCCTTCGATCTAGGTGGATTAGGGTTTCAAATTTTAAATCAACTATGGGCTTGGCCCAACAATCTTTCTGGATTTGCATGTTTTCTGGGCTTCAAGCCACTTTGGCCCATCATATTGAGAATTTGTTGGATTTGGTCCAGTAATCTTTGGTTATGGACTTTTATTGGGCTTGTAGGAAATTTGGCCTTATGGCTCATTTGTAAAAATCAGTTTCTATCAATTTCCTCCACCGAGAGTCCAAAGCAACAGTCTCTGTATTCGAGATCGGCTCCAACAGCCCGAAATGATTTTTCATCGGTGTTTTTCGCCTCTCCGTTTAACCGCCGCCGCTGTTTCGTTTGTATGGGTCCTTCTCGAGTTAGGGACGAAACCCTAATCGTAGTGGGCCGGTCACTTTCCTGGTTTTTGGGTCAGAGAATATATTTTTTGTTATTGGGCCTGAAGAGCCCAGTAAGGAACCTGTTGAATTTGGGCCAGGTTTTACTTAGGCTAATAAACATGGGCCAGCTTTTGCCTTCCTGGTTTTTGGGCCAGTGTTTAGACTCTTTGTTATTGGGCATGTTGAAACCTAAACGATCCCCATGTTTATGTAGTAGTAATTTTGCTCTAGTCACTCTATTGTTTGATAGTGATAATTTGTCGTTTATCAAGAGATCTTGTTCGGCAATGGGGATACTCTTATTTTTCTACTTTGAAAATCCGGTTTTAGAGAACCGCGAGAATATATGGGATCAGATATTAAGGCGTAAAACCAAACTCATTCACACTGCTGGTAATCATAGTTTGTTATGGCCATTGGTGTCCGGTTTCAACATGTCAATATTCAAGATTGGGAGTATGTATCAAGGTGATAAAGGCATGACTGGAATGTTTACCATGGATCTTTTGTTTTCCGACTCCATTCTTTCCTCCCCTGAGGAGAGACATGGCTTTAACTTCCTCTTTGTTGAAAGAGAGACCTTTTCGGCTAGCATCCCTCACTGGCGAAGCAAATTTCTATTGTGTCTTCTCCTGATGAGAAGCTTAGTTGAGCTCCAAAACTCTCTGTTTTCTCTCATGATTACATACACTCCGTCGTCTCTTTATCACAAACGACGCGAACTTATAGACCTCCAACTTCCGACTCATCTCATAACCAATCTCTCCGTCGAATCTAGAATTTTCTCGGGCGTTCTCCGTAGATCTTTACCACCGTGTACCACCGCGAAACTCTCCTCCGCATCCTCCGCCGGTTCTGCGGCTTCCCCCAAGTACCGTTTTAGTTCTTTTAAATCAGTTGCCGCAATTTGCATCATTCCTCCAGATCTGATGAGGCCACGAAAATACATAATGAATATGGGTCATCTCTTGCTCATACTAATGAATTTGGCCCAGCTTTTGTCTTCCTGGTTTTTGGGCTAGTGGTTAGTCCCTTTGTTTTTGGGCTTGTTGAAACTAAAAAGATTAGTATGTTTCTGTTTAGATGTTTCTAAGAATAAGAATCCGCAAATTTTCAATGGATATCATTATCGATTGGATAGTAATTTCGCTCTGACCACTCTATTTTTTGGGAGTGATCAATTGCCGGTTATTAAGAGACCTTGTTCGAAAATTTGGATGCTCTTATCTTGCGACTTTGAAAATCCGGTTTCAAAGAACCGCGATAATAAGAGGGATCGAATATTAAGGTGTGAAACCAACCACATTCTTCATTTGGGTAATCACAGCTTGCTAAGGCCAATGGCGTTTGGTTGCAATAAGTCAGTTTTCAAGGTTGGGAAAATGAATCAAGGTGGTCAGGGCATGATTGGAATATTGACCCTAGATCTATCTTTTCCCGACTCGATTAATTCCTCCCGTGAAGACATGGGTTTAACTTCCTCTTTGATGAAAGAGAGACCTCTTCAGCTAGCATCTCTCACAGGCATGGTAAACGTCTAATGTGCCTTCTCCTGAGAAGCTTAGTTGAGTTCCAAAACACTATGCTTTCTATGGTGATTCCCTTCACGAGACGAGGAGGTTTTTTGTACCCTTTTACATCATTCATACTCACGGACACTAACCTTCTGTGTATCTCTTTGCTTGGTTCGAGAATTCTGCTTACAATTGTTTGGTTTCGCTCCTTTCTCTTTATCGACGACTTTGGACTTTGGATCGCGAGATTTTCTTCTCGTCCTTTTTGCGACCCCCCTTTTCAGGGAATGAATGCTCATGCACTTCAGGCGCAATATTGGAAGTTTAAAACTGCTTGGAATCTTTTGTATTCCTTGTGGCAATGGTTACCATGGAGCTTGGCATTCTAGAAAAGGACAGCCCTCCGCATCTACGAGAATCCTCCCTTCGTGGTGGAACTCCTTATTAGTAGTATTTCTATATCTTTTGCTGTAACTCTTCAGTCTAGGTTTATTCCTCGTATTTTTAATGGTCGGGCTGTTTGCTTAGCTAAGAAAGCCCGAGCCCGTAATTGTTGGTGTCGGATCCCACACCAGAGGTCCAGGACCAACCAAAGATTGCCACGTAATCAGGGTAGCGGCCCATAAAGGATAAAGCCCATCGGACCCACGAGTCAAAAGAACAATCGAAGTGGTAACCACCATAAGGAGAATTCGAAGTGACTGCACCTCGACACGAGTCCGGAGACGAGGTCATGATTAAAGTCGGTCCAAGGACATTTGGGCCGAAAGGCGAGGCCCATAAGGATCAGAGTCAACTCGAATTCAAACGTTGAGCATTAAAGTCAAGGAATCAAAACGGACACATTTAAGAAGGAATAATTGTACTTAATTACTCATTTTAATGTCGTTTCTCTATGTATAAATATGAAGGCCAATGGCCATGTAAAAGGGATCTTCCTCTGAAGAAAGAAATACTATAGCAATTTTCACAGCAATTTATAAGTTTTTACATATTCATTTTTGTC